TCTGCGCATCGCGGCTCGCCGGGCGGCGGCGGCGAGGCGAGCGCAACAGCGCGGGCGGCCGCCTTCTCCGCCCGCCCGCCGGGGACTGGGGTTCGCGCTGCCGGCGGGCGGGCGACGGAGGAGGAGGAGAAGGAGGAGGAGGGGGCGGGAGGAGAGGAGGCGCGAGCCCGGCTCGAGGAGGAGCGGCCCGCGCCTACCGTACTGTGTGGAGTAGCCGCCCGTCTGCCCACCCGCCAGCCGCCCGGAGCCTGGCGCTTTGGCTTCAGGGAGTGCAGCCTCAAATCCTTTTTCTCATTCATGCATCATCCTTACATCCACCTGTTCATCCGTTCATTCATGCCCTCCCATACCATTCCGTTTCCTCGGTGACTTCTTCATTCGGTCACTCATTCACTTACCCTCCTATTCCACCCGCTCTTCAGCTCATTATTCTGTGCATTTTCCCCATCGTTTATTTTTATCCATCTTTCCACAAACGCGTGCATCCGTCTGTACATCCAATCAGGCAAGAGCATCTCTGTTCTGTTTTCCCAGTGCAGGGCCTGGCACCTGGTGGATATCTGTTGGACAAAATCACGCCAGATCCACGTAGCCTAAAGAAGTTACAGGATACATTTCAAAGTCTGGGTTTAAACTCTGACTCTGTCCCCTACTGGCTTAGTGATCCTGAGCAAGTTGCACAATTTGAGACTTCATGTCCTTACATGCAAAATGGGAATGATAATACTGCTCTCCACGGAGGCATTGTTGTGGGCATTAAACTTAAAAAAAAAAATGCATTCAAAGAAACTAGAACAGTGCCTGGCTCACAATAGGTGTGCGATAAAAGCTCTGTGATAATCAGTACAATAAAACGTAGCTTATCAGAAATACATAAATGCAAAGGTTTTTTTTTTTTCCTTTCTGATGTAGATTTGAGATAGAGTAACAACTTTACCACCCATTGTAGGAATAGAGTCTTCTGAGACCCTAACAGCTACAATCACCAGATCAAGGTTCTGAATTTTCAAAGTATTCTTTCAGGGCATCTCTAGTCACAGATCTGAAGCATTAGGACACATGCTGTTATTATTCACTATGAACTGACAGCGTTCTACTAACTAGCTTTTCAGCATGGCCACAGCACAAAGAAGACTAGTTAGAACAGCGTCTCTGAGTTTCCACCAGATTGCACGTTGACTTATAAATCATCTAAAATTCAATTATATTCCAAATCATTCTTATATTAACATTATAGTTTAATTATTTGGGAACCCATTGTATTTAAAATTTTAGGAATGAGAATGTTTAATACCCTGGAACCTCTTGCCAAGCAGGCACACGGAAATGGCAGGGTGCAAAGTCAAAGCGTGGACTGAGAAATGTTGCAGTCAAGTGAGCACAAACAGTCCATTGGTTTTCAACGAGGATAAGGTACCATCACAGTAGGAGGTATCTGGAATTGTGAGAAGGATGTTTTGTGTTGTCACAATGACTGGCAGGTCTATTGACGTACACTAAACCTCTTACAGTGCTTAGGACATTCTAGCATGACAAGAATCATCCTGGGCCAAGTGCCAACATGGGGTTCCTGTTGAGAAATGCTGAGCTATGCTAAGACTTGGCGCTTAGGCCTTTCAGGTTTAGAAATGACCACCATCATGTTGCTCTGTGGCCCAGTGAAACAGAAATTCCCAAACTCTGTCTTGCCACCTCTCCTCTTCCTCAAGGAGGACACGTACAACAAGGGTAAAATAAGGCACAGTAACACTGAAGTAGTACCTGAGGGTTTTAGCCTCAAACATCCAAATGGAACTTGGGACAGTTAGGCTTGACCAAACAGAGAACTTCATTTTCTTAAACTCCACTGACTTACCTCCTTCACCTGAATCCAAACCCAAGTTTTGGATTTCACTGCTCTGATTGGCGGAAAAATACAACTTCTGACACCATGGAAAAGGGGTTCTAGATACCATATCTATGGATCACCCAGTTTCTCACTTGGATGTTTAATAACCCAAAATGCTTGTTTATATGCCCCCCCCTTCATCCCTGAAATCTATTTCTCCTTCTGGAGTTTTGGTATCTCTAGACACGTAGTTGCTCAAGCCAGAAATTAGGTGGGAATCATCCTTGATTTCCCTATTTTCCTGACCTCCTGCATTAGTTATCTGTTATCTATTTTTAGTTATTATCTGTTATGCATAACAAACTACTCAAAAATTTGGTGGCTTAAGATAATCCACATACAATCTCATCACTTCTGTGAACATTCCAGAACAGCTTAGCTGGGTCCTCTGCTTCCCAGGCTCTCACAGGGCTGTAATAAATTGTTGGTTCAGTGCTGTGATCTCATCTGAAGACTCAAATGGGGAAGGATCCACTTCCAACCTCATTTACATGACTGCTGGAAGAATGCAGTTTCCTCCAGGTTATTGGACTAAGAGTGTCTGTGCCTTGCTGCTTGTTGACCAGGGTTGCCCCCAGTTCCTCGCCAGGTGGCCCTCTCTTTCAGCATAAGCCTGTAAGAAGAGTCAGAGAGAGGATGCAACAATGCAAAAAAAGTAACCTGATTTTTTTTATAACCTAATTTCAGAAGTGACATTCTGTCACTTTATCTTGTTCTTTTAGTTAGAAGCAAGTCATTACATCTCATTCACACTCAAGAGAAAAGGATTACACAAGGGCTGGAATACCAGAAGGCCAGGATTATTGGGAGCCATTTTAGAAGGCTGCCTTTCTCACCTCCCATATCCAGAGAATTAGCGAATTCTGTTAAAGCTACTTCCCAAACGTGGCATCTGTCCAATTCTCTCCTTCTGAATTGCCAATCATGATTGTTTGACAAGGCCAAACCTTGCTAAATTCTTAATAGCCTCATTTCTATTGTATTGCATATAAATTATGCCCATCTCACGGCCCACCCCCCACTCCCATTATATGATGTGGCTGTTCTATGGCCTACACGCAATAGCAATTACCTTCTAATTAATCTCCTTGCTTCTTCCCAGGCCTTCTTCCAATTTTTAAGCCGGGTTGATTTAAACAAACAAACAAACAAACCTAAATCGAGCCTTATTTCTCCCCTGCTTAAAACTCTTCAGTGATTCAGTGATTCTTCATGGTTCTTTTTTTTTTTTTTAGGCTCCACCCAGTATGGAGCTTAATGCAGGGCTTGAGCTCAAGACCTGAGCTGAGGTCAAAAGCTGGAGGCTTAACTGACTGAGCCACCAAGGTGCCCCTTTTTCATGGTTCTTTAAATAAGTCTGAACTCCTTACCATAGCATCTAACTCTAAGATGATGTGGCCCCTGACTGCATCCATCCTGGGGCTTGTTCCAGCCCCACTGGCTTTCCATCAGGGCCTCTACCATTCCTGGGTCTTACTTGCTTCAGTGTCTTTGCATTTGTGTTTCCTTTTGCTGATTTTATGCTCGGGAAAATACTTCAAGATTTAGATCTCAGCTTAAAGCCACCTCCTTAGAAAAGCCTTTTCTGGCCACCTCTTTAAGGAGATATTGTCCCTCCCATTATTATATGCCCATTTTGTTTCCTGCAGAACCCTTCCCATAAACTGTATACACATACATAAACATATGGGTACACACACAGATACACATGTATATACATTCAAATTTATATGTCTATATGTTTTTAATTGGAATTATTTATGAACAGTAGCATATATAGTTCTTGATTGTATAGCTAGATATACCACAAAAACCAACATATAGAACATTTCTAACATCTCAGAAGACTCCCTATGGCCTCTCCCAGTAGTTATATTCAAGGATAATAACTACTTTAATTTCTAAATCATAGATTAATTTCGTCTGCTTTTTGAAACTTTATATAAATAGAGCCATCTGACAGGCACTCCCATTCAACATATTGTCTGTGAAATCAATTCATGTTTTTCCATGTATCAGTAAGTTTGTTTGTACATCTGTTTGTTTGCTGGGTAATATTCCATTATATGAATATAACATAATATAGGTTATTATTTTTTATCCATTTCACTATTGAGATAATGAAATTATTTGCAGCTATTATGAGCATTTTTATACAAATCTTTTGCTGGACATAAACATACATCTCTTTTGGGTATATATCCAAAAGTGGAATTTCTGGGTCATACAGTTGGCATATATTTAGTTTTAGATGCTGCCAAATGGTTTCTGAAAATGGTTGTACCAATTTACACTCCCAACAGAACTCCAACTTACTCCAAATCTCCATCTATACTTGATCTCGTGTGTTAGTTTAATCTTAGCTATGCTGGTGGGTGTCTAGAGTACTGTGTTACAGTTTGAATTCTCATTTCTCTTGAGCACCTTTGATATATTTATTGACCATTTGGATATCTTCTTTTGTGAAGTGGCTCTTCTACCTATTTGGGGGGTAGGGCATCTGGCTTCTTCTTACTGATTTGCGGGAGTCCTTTATATATTATTAATATGGGTCTTTTGTCAGATACACATTTTGCAAATAACTTCACTCAATGTGTGGCTTTTCACTCTTTTAATGCTATCTTTTGATAAATAGAAATTCTCAATTTAATGAAGTCCAACTTTTCAATCTTTTATGGTTGGTATGCTTGGTGTTTTGTCTAACAAATCTTTGTCTTGGTCACAAAGAAATTTTTTTATTTTCTTCTAGAATATAGCTGTATGATAGAACTTTATGTGATAATGAAAATGTTTTATGTCTACACTGCCCAAAATGGTACCCAGTAGGCCCATGTGGCTATTGAGTCCTTAAAATGTGGCTAATATGAGGAACTGAATTTTTTAAAATTTTATTTAAATAGCCATATGAAGTTAGTTGCTGCTATAT